CTGCAGGCTGCCTGGCTCGCGATAGGATGCAAAACCCACACAGCCAGAGAAGCCACCACTTCCTCCCATTAATCAGCTGAATGGGACCGAAAAGCTGAATTAGCCAAACCAGGCGAGTCTGACCCAGAGAATCCCCCCAGTGTGCCTGTGTCAGCAGCTCCTGCGATTATTAAGGAAACCCTGTGACCCAGTTTCCTTGACCTTCTCCTCATTTCAGAGACAGACTGTAAAACGCCATAGTAACCAAGAGCGCCTCACTGGAAAAAGATGTAAATCGCTCCTCCAGAAGCAAAGTGGGAGTTACCCCGTTTACCCTGAACAGTAGGGGCAATGCAGGAAGGTCACGGTCCTGCGCACCTTGTTTCTTGTTTGCGGCAGGCCAAACTCAACGGGGAGCCCTCACTTTCAAAGAGGGTGGCTAGGGTTTGCACAGACCCTTCTCTAGGGTCAGACCCCGCAGCACTCCCCACGACTCCCGGGAAGTTCTCACAGCCTCCCTCATACCGGGGAGGAGTTTGCAAGGGACAAAATTTCCTCAGGAAATTGCCTCCCTGCCTCCCCGTCCCCGCCTGACCCAGGGCAGCTGACCATGTATTCGGCCCTGGCTGGCCTTCATGCCTCTGTCCGTCCACCTCAGCCCAAACAGGGATGCACCATTACTCACCAGGTGGTTCTCCCCAACCCAGGGAGGCAGCCTTGGCTAGAGTGCCCCCGTATAGAGGGCTGCTCCACCCTCCCAGATCAGAGGCCCCAGGGTACCCTGACAGGGCCTCCTGAACCTCAACCCAGGCTCTCGATCCACCTGTCTGCCGTCTTCTACTCAGAAGTGTCCAGACCCCAGGCAGACCTCCCTCATGTCCTGAAGTAGCTTGGCAAGCAGGCAGTTTGGGGAAAGTGGCAGAGGCCATGGTCCTAACATGCCACCTTTGAGTCCAGCCCAGGAAAAAGGGTTCTTAAACGAGAAGCAGCAATCCAATCACCTAGCTGTGGAATTTGAACACACTCCCTAGCTGCACAGAGACACTTGATTTAACTTCATGTGGCCATCCATCTCCTCATCTGGAAAGAAGCAGAATGGACACACCTTGCAAGAGTCCTGTGGAAACGAGGGATAATGTGTAAAGTGTCTGGCACAGAGCAGGTGTTCAGGAAACAGCAGTTACCATGAAGACGGAAAAGCAGTGATACAGCAGGACAGGGAGGGAAGCTGTTGACGCCCCCTTGGAAAGTTACTTACGTGCTAAACCACTAGACACAAGAGTTCAGCAGCCAAGGTCACCCCTCACCCAGGCCCGGGGGGTGGGGTGGGGGGGCGGAGACATGGCTTCCACCTAGCCCCAGCCCTCTGGCAACACGAACACTTTGTCAAAGGCGGAAGCACATCCATAGGACAGATGCCCGAGCTGGCGCCAACCTTAAAGGCCATGTGGTCAGTGCCCTACTTTGCAGTTAAGGAAACTGGAGCCCAGAGGGGCCAAAACCTTGGCTGCAATTCAGGTCGGCGAACTGCCCACGGAGGAGCTCTTCCCTGTCCACCCTGAGTACGAGTGAGGCTCGCACACTTGGGAGTGGCCCAGGGCCACGGTCACAGGGGTGGCCTGACAGCACCCCAGGGGTGCTCTCTGGGGGCACACCCATCCTTAGAAGGCACATGCCTTTGCCACTGGCAGTTGTCTGTCTTTAATATATGGCTTCTACAAAACACAGAGAAGTGGTAGCCGAATTACAAATGCCTCCTGATCACAGTTTCACTCAGTCTCTCTCCTGCCCCCAAACCCTCAACTCTAGCCTGGGGGCTACTCTGCCCTCCGTCCGTCCGTCCATCCGTCCGTCCGTCCATCCATCCATCCATTCATCTGCCACTAGGGCTCCACATGGCGGCGAGGGGGCCGGAGTCAGCGCACTGCTTCTCTGGGTCAATTCAAGGTGGGAAAGGGTCCTGCTACGCACTAGTCAGATAAATAATGACACGCTCACGTGCTCTATACACAAGAATATTTGTGAAGGGAACAATCTGAAGACATAACATTTACACAAAAAATAGGATACAAAACTTCATGTCCAGCTTCCTGCATCCAATACTTTCATAAAGGATTATATGTACATGCGTGAAGTGTGCTGTAACGAAGTACCTGCTGACAGGGGTTATCTCTGGGCTGAGAGCCAATGGAGGACCTTTTAAAAAACAATTCCTGGATTTTCTAGAACAAACATGCATTATCTTTATCTCTACAAAGCCAAGGATTTTCTGGTTCAGGTACAGCAGAAAGGTGAGCACCCTCTGCATTTTTCTTCCCGTGCTCCGGAAGACCATATTGTGGCAAAGATGAACAAGCAACCCGTTCTCCCAGGCAGTGAAGACGCTGGACAACACTCATCTCCTCCCTAACATCTGGTCTTTCCCCAGACTTTACCACAGCAGCCTCGCCACCTCCAGGCCTGCAGGCCAACACTGGATACACAATGCATGAGGCCCATGTCCGACCAAGCTCCCCTCCCAGGCCCTGGCAGGGGGAAGCCTGCGCCAGCCTCAGAGCCCTGACATTCCCTCCACCAGCCCTCCCCCAGCCACTGGAGTTGGAGAACAGGTGGGAATACTTGCAGAAACACCGGTTCTCTTGCCAGTCTCCAACTAAACAGCGTCCCAAACTCAAAGCAACAGCTGTAAACCAGCCAAAGATATCTTCAGTAGGAACAGGCATGTGACCTACACACACACACTGCTTTGGTCTCTTTAAAAAAATTATTTGGGGGGCACCTGGGTGGCTCAGTGGGTTGAATGTCTGACTTCAGCTCAGGTCACGATCTCAGGGTCCCAGGATCTTTGAGCCCCGTGTCAGGCTCCCCACTCAGCGGACAGCCTGCTTCTCCCTCTCCCTCTGCCCTTCCCCCACTCATGCTCTTATGGTAATAAATAAAATCTTTTAAAAATTATTTTTATTTGTATTGCTTTGTCAAGTAGATACTAATGGAGAGCACATAGAAATTTCCAGGGCAGTAGGGCAGGGACACAGGTAAGGGTGAATGTGGGAAGTCTCCCTATGCAAAAACTCAAAAGATTAAGACCCAGCCAGCTGGGTTCAAATCCTGGTGCTCTAGTCACTGAAGGCACCTAACAGTACAAGTGGCTTAACTCCCTGAACCTCAGCTTCCCATTACTGTAGCTGGTAAAAATAATAGCTACTTTTGTGTGACTGCAGCTGTAAAGAGACATTGTATATGACACACTTCAGGCTCATCATCAATAACTCACAGGCTTGTGGCGCCTGGCTGGCTCAGCCAGACAAGCGTGTGACTCTTGATCTCAGAGTCGTGAGTTCAAGCCCCATGTTGGGTGTAGAGATTACTCAAATAAATAAAACCTTAAAAAATTAAAATTAAAAATAACACAGAGGCCAAGGTGGGGGAGGCCTCTCATTTGGCAAACCCCGTGTGTGCAGTGGGACTGGGAGCAGCCATTGAGGTGCTGAGGGGACAGGTGACAGGCATGGCAACACACACCAGGCCTCCAGGCACATGAGGGGCAGCCTCCAGCCAGGCTCTTGCTTATGCTGCTTTCTCCAATAGACAGGAACAGGGCATTCATTTCATCCAACCCCCGGGGCATGCACCAAGTAAGAGTCTAGACTTGATGCACAGCCACTTGAACACCAAACCATGCAGAATTTTCCCTGAAAATCCAAAATGACATCTATCCCACTCTGCAGCAAACGTTCCTCCAAGCCCATTTCCAGCCCCAGACCTAAAGGCCCCTTCACATAGCCCAGGAATGAATCTGGACCGCCAGCCTACCTGTCTGCAGCCTCAGCTATGAGCTGGTGCCAGGCCCAGAAAACACAGTTGCTGACACACCTCCCTGCTTCCACACAGCCACTTTCACAGCGAGGGGCACCTGAGGCTCCCACACCTGAAGCAGCTTATCCCGAGCCTTTAATTACTGCTGAAACACTGGAGGCTCAGGTGTCTACAGAATGGACATCAAGGGCATCCATACCAGAAGCCAGGGTCGGTCCTGATCAAGTTACTGTCAGGACGGGCTGGAAAGCCCAGGCTGACGATTGTGAGTTAAGCTGGCTCTGCAACTGTTCTGGAGGGGATGCCTCTCAGGTTCTCCATCTGTAAATGGAGACGCAGTTAGTCCACGAACCCACAGTTCATTCGTTAAAAAGGAAATACTCATTAATTCAGCAGACAGGAGCATTTCATCCAACTACCAAAGGGCTGAGCTCTGCTGCCAGGGCTGGACAGCAGAACGCCGGGCCAGACGGCGAACCCTTAGCTTAACGGGTTCTGAGCCTGGCTCTGCTCTATCCTACCTGGCTGGCCTTGGACAGCCACGTTAGCTCTGTGGACTGAGTTTCTTCATCGATAAAATGTAGGGTGGGTACTGGCCTGTTTCTGTTTCCTCCAGCTTCAAAAGCTTGATTCTGGGAGTCTCCTCACGGCTTTAAAACGGCCAAGCCCCGCTGACAGCGAAATTGCCGGCTCCAGGCCCGACCTGCTGGCGATTCCCCACCGGGGCGGTCAGACCCTTGTCTACCCCCTGCCTCGAAGGCCCACCGGGCCCGGGAGCCAAGGCGGGAAGGACGCCGTGCCCGAGCCTCCCAGACCCACGTGAGCTGCTCCTTTAAATGCCCGGTCCTCCTGCGGGCCGCGCCGCGCCCACCACTAACGTGCTCGGGCCGCCGGGAGGCGGACACAGCCCGGCGTAGGCCCAGGCCTGGGGGCCGCTTCCCGCGCTCCTCCCACCCACGAGGTCCCGGTTGGCCGCCGCCGCCGCCGCTTCCCCGCGCGCTCCCCTCTCCGCCCCTGCGCCGCTCGCAGAGACCGGACAGGCGCGCGCAGGGACCGCAGCCCCGCGCCGGGGAAGGGGCCGCAACCCGTCCCGGAGAGGGGCGTGCAGGGGCCAGCGCCCAGCCCGCGGGTCGCGACTCCGCCCCGCGCCGTCCGAGCGGCGGAAGACCCGGCCCGGCCCGCGCGCCCCAGCCCCACCAGCTCACCTGCTCGGCCTCGCAGCTCCAGCAGTGTTTACGCGGCTGGCGGAGCGCCCATCCGGCCCGGGCCCAGTCGCCCGCGCAGACCCCGCCCCGGCTCCGCCCATGTCCCGCCCCCGGCCCCTGCCAGGTCCCGCCCCTGACCCCGGCTCCGCCTCACCTGGAGCCTGGTCTTCGGGGCCGATCTCTGGCGCTCGCAAGGGGCCTGAGCTGCCCCGGTGGCGCCGCGGGGACGCCGACCTCTGATCGTACGGGGGGGAGGGGGGCCTGGCAGCTCCGTGGAGCTGTAGCGCATTTGCTTGGAGGACATCTCTTTCCTTGTAGTGTTGGGTCCACGGTCTCCCGCTTCCGCCTGTGAGCTAACATCACGAGAATGTTCCTGCTCTATTTTCTAGAACATCAGAGCCACCAGGAGCTCTAGATAAAATTGTATAGGGATGAAACGGCTACCGATGACCTGTGAATTGGCTGAAGGAGTTGTGACTCCTGGATTTAGGAGTCTATGGGGCGAGCTGAGATTATCAGCAATTTGATATTTCTGAGTGGCTTCACTTTAAAAAATTAAGGTAAAATTCGCATAACATAAAATTAACCTTTTTAAAGTGTACAGTGGCATTTGGTACATTCATAGTATTGTGCAATCCCAGCCACCTGTCCCTAGTTCCAAAACCTTCCCATCACTGGAAAACCTCCTACCTGTTATACAGTTTTTTTCATCCCCTTCTCCCCCAGCTCTTGGCAATCACCAGTCGACTTCTATCTCCATGGATTTACCTACTCTGAAATTTCATATAGATGGAATCATACAATATGTGACCTTTGGGGTCTGGCCTCTTTGATGAGTATAATGTCTTTGAGGGTCATCCTTCCTGTGGCCCGTATTCGCCTTCATTACTTTTCATGGCTAAATAACATTCTGTTGTATGTACGTTCCACTATTTGTTGATCCGTTCACTCATTGATCACATCTGGGCTGTTTCCACCCTTTGGTTATTGTCAGTCCTGCTACTGTAACCATGTGTGTACATGTATTTGTTTGAGCACCTTTTTTAATTATTTGGGGTACATACCTAGGAGTTGACTTTCTGGATCATACAGAAATCCTATGTTTAATTTTTTGAGGAACCACCAAACTGTTTTCCACAGAGAATGAACCATTTTACATTCCCACTAGCCATCAGTAGAGAGTTCCAGTTTCTCCACACTGTCCAACACTTGTTATTTTCCATTTAAAAAATTATTATTGTTATTATTGCCTTCCCAGTGGGTATGAAGGGGTACCTCATTCTGGTTTTGATTTGCGTCTCCCTATTAATTAGTGCTGTTGAGCATCTGTCATGTGCTCATTGGCTATTTGAGTATGTTCTTTGGAGACACATCTATTCAAGTCCTTTGCCTATTTTTTTTTCCTTTGCCCATTTTTAAATGTGGTTATCTTTTTGTTGCCTAGTGGTATGAGCCCTTTACCTACCTGGATACCAAACCCCTGTCAGTACACAGTTTGCAAATATTTTCTCCCACACCGTGGGTTATCTTTTCACTTTCTGACAATGTCCTTTAATGTACACATGCCTTCAGTTTTTATTAATTCCAGTTGATATTTTTTCTTTCATTGCTTGTGCATTCAGTGTCATATCGAAGAATCTGTTGTCAAATCCAAAATCATGAACATTTACTTCTGTGTTTTCTTCTAAGAGTTTTATAAGAACACTTATATTTAGATGGTTGATCCATTTTGAGTTAATTCTTGTATATGGTGTGAGGTCTGGGTCCAGCTTCATTCTTTTGCATGTGGATATCCAGTACCATATTTAGATGGTTGATCCATTTTGAGTTAATTCTTGTATATGGTGTGAGGTCTGGGTCCAGCTTCATTCTTTTGCATGTGGATATCCAGTACCACTTGTTAAACAAACTGTTCTTTCCCCAATGAATGGCCATGGCCCCCTTGTCAGAAATCAATTAGCCATAGACAAATGGGAAACAAACAAATTTTTTTTTAAAGATTTTATTTATTTATTCATGAGAGACAGACAGAGAGAGAGAGAGAGAGGCAGAGGGAGAAGCAGGCTCCCAAGGAGCAGGGAGCCCGATGCGGGACTCAATCCCAGAACCCTGGGATCATGACCTGAGCCGAAGGCAGACGCTTAACCATCTGAGCCACCCAGGCGCCCACAAACAAATTTTTTTAAAAGCTGCTTAAATGCGGGGCACCTGGGTGGCTCAGTTGGTCCAACTCTTGATTTTGGCTCAGGTCGTGATCTCAGGGTTGTGAGATTGAGCCCTGCATCGGACTCCTTGCTCAGCAGGGAGTCCGCTCAAGATTCTCTCCCTCTCCCTCTGTCCCTCCCCTCCGTGCTCTCTCTCTCTAAAATAAATAAATATATCTTTAAAAAAATAATATAATAGAATAAAAAATAAAAAAATAAAAGCTGCTTAAACCCAAATTAACCCAGAATGGAAATGGAGAAGGCCAGCATTTTGACAGACAAAATAATATACAAATAATGATCTTCGCTAAATTAGAGAAATGAATTACATTTAACAGAATTATAAAATAAGATGTTCTTTTTTTTAAGATTTATTTATTTGAGAGAGAGAGCACGTGCACACAGATGGGCTGGGAGAGGCAGAGGGAGAGAATCTCAAGCAGACTCCCCGCAGAGTGCAGAGCTGGACTCGGGGCTCAATCTCACGACCCTGAGATCATGACCTGAGTCAAAATCATTAGTCCAATGCTTAACCAACTGAGCCACCCAGGTGCCCCTAAAATAATAAGTTATTAAAACAGGAAGGACACTTGAGGGTCACAAACTCTAACTCTAACACGTGAGCACCCTCTGCAGAATCCCAAAGGAAGGGCTGCCCAGCCAGGTTTGTTATTTTGGGAGCTTTTAGTGTTGTGCATTAGTGAGAGGTTGAATTTTGCTCCTAATATGAAACGTAAAGACTCATGAAATGAGTTAGGAATATTTTCTTTTCTATTTTTTGATAGAGTTTGTAAAGGATTGGTGTTAATTCTTCTTTTTTACGATTTATTTATTTGAGAGAGAGAGAGCATGCAAGCAAGTGGGGGGGCAGAGGGAGACGGAGAGAGAGAATCTTCAAGCAGACATCCCACTGCACTCAGAGCCTGACACGAGGCTTGATCCCAGGACCCTGAGATCATGACCTGAGCTGAAATCAAGAATCAGCAGCTTAACCTACTGAGCCACCCAATGTTAATTCTTCTTTAAGGGTTTTGTAGAATTCACCCTGAGAAACTGTCTTATATTGCCTTTGGGGAGATTTTTGATCACTGATTCAATCTTGTTTTCTTTTTATAAGTTTGCTCCAATTTCCTCTTCCTTCCTGAGCAGTTTTGGTAATTTGTGTGTTTCTAGGAGTTTGTCCATTTCATCTAAGTTGTCTAATTTGTTGGTGCACAATTGTTCATAGTATTCCCTTTTTTAAAAAAGATATTATTTATTTATTAGGGAGAAAGAGAGAGAGCACAAGCAGGGGGAGCGGGAGAGGGAGAAGCAGGTTCCCTGCTGAGCAGGGAGCCCGACACGGGACTCGATGCAGGACCCTGAGATCATGACCTGAACTGAAGGCAGACGCTTAGCCGACCAAGCCACCCAGGTGCCCTCATGCTATTCCCTTCTAATCCTTTCCCCACTGCAAGCATTATGGTAATGCCCCCATTTTCCTTCCTGATTTTAATTATTTGCATCTTCTCTTTTTTTCTTGGTCAGTTTAGCTAAAGATTCATCAATGTTGTTGAGCTTTTCAAATTTTTCATTTCATTTGTTGTACATTTCAGCTCCAGAATTATTCTATTTGGTTCCTTTTAATAATTTCTATTTCTCTTGATATCCTTTGGTTGTTTATATTTAGATTGTTCTCTGGCTTCCTTTAGTTCTCTGTCCAAAGTTTCTTTAGCTATTTGAGCAGATTTTTAAAAAGATTTTTATTTATTTATTTGAGAGAGAGAGAGAGCACACAAGTGGGGGGCGGGGCAGAGGGAGAGATAGAAGCAGACTCCCTGCTTAGTGGGGAGCCCGACTTGGGGCTCCATCCCAGGACCCTGGGATCATGACCTGAGCCAAACGCAAACACTTAACTGATGGAGCCACGCAGGCATCCTGCTATTTGAGCACATTTAAGACAGTTCCTTTGTTTATTTATGTATTTTATTTATTTGTTTGTTTGTTTATTTATTTATTTATTTATTTATTTATTGGTGGGCAGCAAAGCAAAATTTATTGGGCTATAGTGAAGTTTATTGAATGATAGAGTACAAAGCCCCCAAAGAGGGAGGGGAGCTGAGAGGGTTGCCCAAGATTGTTCCTTCAAAGTCTTGGTCTTAGGAAGTCCAATATCTAGGCTTCTTCAGAGATGGTTTCTGTCAATTTCTTTTTCCTCTGAATGAGTTATACTTTTCTTTTTCTCTGTTTGCTTTGTAACTTTTTGTTGAAAATCACACATTTTGATATTATAACTCTGGAAATTAGATTCTGTTCCCCCTTTGGAAGGTCTGCTGTTATTTCTCATTAGGGGTTACAGTCATCCATGTGTTTAGTGACACTTCCAAATCATTTTTTTTTTTTGCACACTGTATTCCTTATCATATGCAGTCACTGAAGTCTCTGTTCCATTATCCCATCAGTCAACCACTGACCAAACACAGATTTCCTTAAACACCTGGAGCCAAAACAAAACAAAACAAAAAACAAACTAAAAGAAAACACTCTTGGTCTTTTAAGATTGTCTCTGAGCTGGACATTTCTGCTGCACCTAGCTAGGACACCTGCCACTCTGCCTTAGCCTTTACTTCCTGCTTGCATGGATCCCAGAGATCAGCCAAAGGTGCAAGCCTAGGGTCCTCTTGGGTCTTTTCTGAGCATGTTTCTGGCCCTGGGCACATGTTTTATAGTCTAGACTCCCTGGTATATGAAGCAGCCCTTCAAAATCCTTCCTCCCCAGTATCTTCCTCTTCGGTGTCCTTTTTCCCAGTCTTTCTGGTTTGTCAGTTGCTTACCCCATCTGCCCTCCCTTGCCCCAGACAGCTATGGGTAGTATATGTCTTTAAATGCTT